AAATATCTATAGAAGGTTTATATTGATATAAATTTTAGATTATGTCATGAATTCTAGAATTTGCTTGATTTTTTCTCAAGGCAAAATCCTAGAAAAGACTTAGTTAGGGAAATGATTTAGGCCATCTTTGAACCATTTGAGCCAATCTTGTTAAATATTTATCCCTAGTACACCCCTTTTGAGCTTAATTTTCCTTTTCTTTGTTTAATTACATAATAATTGAGCTTAGCCTTAAAATAAAATTTTTAATTTTGCAACCTTCACTCCTAAGCATGTATATTGGTTTAAGAAATATAAATTGAGCTAAATATTGAAAAAAGTGGAAAGGTGATGTTGATGTGAAAAAAAATGTTCAAAATATGAAAAATAACCCTATTACCTACAATACAAAGAAAATAAGTTTGGGAGTGTGAAATTGTGAAAAAAAATATGTTGAAAAAAAGAAAAAAAAAGTTCAAATGTGGAAGAAAATGAGCACTTGGAGAAGGAAAATAGAGCTTTATATATAGGTCCTAGAATAATTATGTGCTTAGAGTGGTTTGAGCCACATTGATATCCTTTATCATACGTTGACCCTAACTATACATTACAAGCTTTATAAAGTCCTATTGATCCCTAGCTTTGTATTAGTCTACATTAGTGGAGAGAGAGATGAAAGGTAAACCTATAGAAATCTAGCACTAATTGAAAATTTGTATTGGCATAAGCTCATTCGGATGTCATGATATTCTTGGTAAAAGATTTCACACACACACGAAAATCCATTCGAGAATGTGCTTGCATTAGAATTGTAACATGAATTTAAATGATGCCTATATTTTTCCTTGGGTTAATGATTAATAGACATACTTTTAAGAAAATTATAAGGAATCATTGGATTGGAGCATTTTATCTCTAGTAGCAGTAATAGTAGTAATAGTAGTAGTATTAGCAGTAGTAGTGGTAGTAGTAGTAGTAACTATATTTATTTTAGTTTTCTTTAACTGAATTTGATTTTCGTAAGTTAGTTTTTTTTCTATGTTTTGCTCGAGGACTAGTAAAATATTAAGTTTGGGGGTATGATAACTCTATGATATAGAGTTATTTGAGCTTAATTTTTATAGTAATTTAGCTTAGTTCTTGTAGTAATGCATAAAAATTAATAGTTTTTATTTAATTATTTTAAATTAGTTATTTTAGGGGAGTCAATCTAATTATGGTTAATTTTATGCTTAATTTGGTGTTAATGTGATTAAGATAGGTTGTTATTTATTTATTTGTGCTTTGGTAGGTATTTGATGAAAGAAGAATTTTAGTGAAAAAAGGAGAGCAATTTTGAGGTGTAGACTTTTACCGCATATATTTTGGTATTTTGACATAACTCTCTCTATAGAGCTCCAAATAAGCAATTCTTAGACCATTGGAAAAATAAGAGAAAAACCTATACTTTTCAGGTTTACCACTTTGCCTAGTTCTGCTTGAAAAATGATAAAAAATCTTGTCGAAGTTGACACACTGTAGCAATCTTAAAACAATTACGATTTCTGTCAATTAATTGGGTAAGGCTGCCACTCACATAGTCTGATAAAATCTTAACTTGAATTGAATTCTTTCTTCACCTAACTTGGCCTAACTTCAAAACTCTATAAAAACAACCTTTTAGAGGACTTTGAGAAGAGTGGAGGGCAAAGAAACACTAGATTGATAATAGAGAATAAGCCACAAAGTCATTGAAGTTGAGAAGATTTTGAAGGATTCAAGAAGAATTGGAAGACCAAGATTATAAGTATTGAGTTTTATCTTTTTTATTATTCTTTTATTTTCTTAGTTTGTTTTTATTGTTTAAACTTTATTCAATGATGATGTGTGACTTGGTGGGGAACTAAGTTTTTAATCTAAGATTATGATTAAACTCAATATGTAGTATGAATTATTTATCTTTCTTTTACTTATGTTTGATCGATTTAGATTGTTTATTTTATTCTGTTCTTAATGTTTCTAATGCTTGATCACCAATTAAATTGAATTAGAAACTTAGGTTAAAGCTTAATGAAGGAGATTTAGGTAGATCTTGAATAAAATAGCGTATGATCAGATATACTTAGTTGATTAGGTAGTTTGATTTGCATATAGGGTAGACATACACTTATAAGCCATACATAGCTAAACTTAGAGCACAAACTTAATGAATCTTTCTTCAATATAATTTACATAGACATATAATAAATTAATTGAGAGAGGTATTTTTATAAGAAACTTGACAGAAACTTGTACATAATTTAAGACTCTATATTAACAACTTAATCTATTAAACTAAGTTAAGAGAGAGAGACAATATTCAGATGAAGTATTGAGGGATATAATAATCTTAGGTTTGTTAATCACTAGAAGTAAAATTTGCTGATATATTAGTTTAAGTTTTTAGTTTATTAATTTAAATTTTCCTTTCTAATTTAAATTGTTTAGATAAAATTAAGAGGTGTCAATTTTAGTAGTTAACAATAAAAATTAATTCAATTCTCTATGGGATCGACACTCTACTTATCTCTATATTATCTTTGCGATACGTGCACTTGCGTGAGTAGAAAATTGAACAACAAAATCGCTTTATAGATATTAAATAATGCAGTCATCAGAAGGAGTAAAATGTACACTGCACTCTTTTATTTTATCAAGGTTTTTTCCACTGGACTTTTCTTGATAAGATTTTTAATTAGGTAGTATTTCAAAAGCATATTCTTGAAAAAGATTATATCCTCTTTGTCCTTTACACAGATTTTTTTATGAGGTTTTTTCCTAGTAAGGTTTTAATAAGACATATTTTTAATATAATGGATATTTAATAGGGAGTGTTATGAATATTTTTACGAATATCTATTTATGTTATCTATATCTAAATTTGGATGTAAATTAGATTGGATTAGAATTTAATCTATCTAGTTAATTCCTTAGTATTATCTTCATCGTGTAAATTCTATCTAGATAAGGAGTTATTAACTTATAAATAGGTTTTTTCACTTCATTTGTAAATACACACTTAAATAAGATTTTCTTACTCCCTCTAAATACTTTTTCTCTCTAAATATTTTTTTTATATTTTTTTATAATTATTCTTTCAAATAATATTTCATAACATATAAATTATTTCAAGTGAATATTAAAATATTCAAATTCAACTTGACTTGGTACTCAAGCTTGAACTCGACTCGATAATTGAGTATTCATAAAGTTGAATCTAAGTAAGTGAGGAGCATCATCAACGGTTTACTTCCCTAGGCGAGAATGTTAAATGCTTAGGTCATCTATCCAATGGAAGAATGCATAAAGGGCGAGAAAATCAAACCTAGTTATGAAATATGATTAATCAACCTCAAAAATCTTTCAAGTAGAAATCTTGTTTCTGAAAGGCATCCAAGAGATGCCGCAAACAAAATGTCAAGTTAGTCATCAAGTTTTATTAACAATATTAAGTTGAGAAAAATATATACGTTACTGTCATGTGTTACTGCTTTAATTTGTGACGATGAGAATTGAGAAATCACTTAGAAATTGTTATGAAAATTGTCTAAAAAATAAAACAAACAAAATTTTAAAAAATCAAATAAATAAAAAAATACAAAAATTTACATGATGCAACTCTTAATTACGTGTATAAAGTAAAATGATTCTTCAACTATTAAAAAAAATTAAAATACAACAAAATCTCTATCTCTTCGCTTCCAACCCTTTGTCCACAATAGTCTCGCAAGAATGCTCAACTGCCACTACACTTAACTTCATTAAGAGAAAAAGACATAATTGCTAAGTGTTTTCTGTCTGAGGCTACTGAAGCTATTTACTCATTTTAAAGTCAAGATTTTTACTTTTATAATATAAAAATTTAAAATAGAATGAGATTAAAATTTAATATGAAATAATAATTTTAAAACTATACAATTAATTACTGTTGTGCATAAATAAAAATCTTAATCAAATAAAATTTTAAATTTTAATCAACTTAAAATTCAATAGAGGTTGAAATAAATTAAAAAAAGAAGCACTATGGAAAATATTTTCCATTTCTTCTTTTCGTCTTTTCTAATCCAAATGAAAGGTATGTGTAGGGTAGGGTTAAAACTTTAAAAAACCTAATGATATTTCAAATTTGCTTTTCCTTCCACATCAAAATGAGTTTCTTCCATATGCAGTTCTCTGGTCTAAGTGGTGGGTTCTTGCATGTTTATGGAAGCATCTCTTAAGATTAGTCAATCAAAATCATAAATTCTGTCAAATCCTAGAAAATCCTTTTTGTTATTATTGGATAATTACAAAGTTGTAATCAAAAGAAACTGCAGGTGAAATGCAGGGAAGTTTGTTATTCTCTTAGTGCCTGTTTAGTCCAATTTTTTTTTTCAATTTATATATAAACAGATTAAATAAGATTTTGAGAAACTCTTAAAAGAAATTTTTTTTTTAAAAATAAAATTTTAAAAAAATTCAGAAAAAACTACAGAGAAGTTTTCTCTCTTTTTTTTAAACACGCCTGTTCAAAAAATATCTTCAATTATTAAAATTAATTCTAACATTATCTTTTATAGTAATTTTAATCAAAATTAAAATTTATATAAATTTCATCCAATAGCTTATGAATAAAAAAATTAAAACATTAAATTTATTAAATAATTTTAATTTAATTTTTAAAATTATTACTTTTTATAAAAATTTCATAATAACTTTTGAGTTAAAACAAATTAAGCTAACAGGCTCTTAATCATCCAGAGAGAACCCAGAGAGGGAAGATATCCGCAAGGGGAATAAAAAAGGGTGTAAGGGAAAGACAGTTTGGTTCATAGCAGAAAACGAAGGGTAATGTTTTTATCCTTGAATGACATATTCATCTTGTCTGCTACTTGAACTGAGTATGTGCATTGAACTATCATGGTGGCGCCCGCATGTGTGGACACGTTGTTCTAATAACTAGAGTGTCGGTGCCAAAGGCCGAGCAGGACGCGAGCGAGAAATTCCTCTTCAAAGCCCAAACAGATCACATTGAATTTAATATATTTATGAATAATTTTGTAAAGAATACATAAGAAGCCATCAAGAGGTTGAATTCAATCTTTAGTGAACACTTAACAAAATAATTATCTCAGGGTACTAACTAACTAACGTTAAAACCAGACATAAGATAGTTTTATATCTCAAAGGCCAGCTGAAACTAATCCATGCAATGTGACAATGCCAATCAAGATGTTCTGATGATCAATAACGGGCAGAAATTGTACAGGAGAAGGTGGTGATTCCATCCTTTGCATGGCTTCCACTGCCATCGCATCCGGACCAATGGTTCTTGGTTTCCTGATATAACCAAAAGGATGTAAATGACTTGATTGAATCAAAAAGCGACTTCACAATTTACTAGTAATTCATTTGAACACCAGCCATCGGCATTTACCTGTTGCACATTTCTCCCACCGTGAGCTTGAATATGCCTTCTCCGCTAGCCTTAAGAGTACGCCGCAAATCACCATCAGTAAATGTGCCAAGCAAGTGGTATTCCTCATCTATGACCAGCAAGCACCCACATCCTTTACTGGTCAGCTCCACCAGCTGATCCATTATCAAATCTCCTTCCTTGCAAATTGGAAGTTCATCTTGCTTCTTCATGACATCTTTTACCTACAAACTCAAAAGCACCAACCCATCATTCCACAACTCCAAGAAAGAACAAGTTGCTTCAACCAGTTTTGGTAAAAAAGGTTGACAGTTTCAAATGTCCCTCAGTCTCTGTTAAATTGACAATGACATGAAGCCCAGAAATACAAGTCGAAATAAATCCATCAAAATTACTACTCCAAATAATGAATCAAACACTTTTATTTCTCTTTTCTAATTTTCAGCATTCTACTGCTTCTTATATCAACTGTTCATTAGCAAACAAAAGAAACAGTCTTTAAATCTTTGAATTAAAACCAATATCTCAAACAATTGAGACCAATCAACTTTACCAAAAGTCATTAAAAGCCCACTGATGATCCATAATACCATCATCAAAAGTAATTAAATTGATTAAAAAATCTGAACAAAGCCAGCGTTTAATCAAAACAAACCTTAAAAATAAGGCATTTCCCAATCCTCCCAGCCGGATGATTCGCCGCGTATTGCTCCTTAGTCAAGTTCTTAGCTCCCATAAGCGCAATTGCCACCGTGTCCCCAAAGACCATCTGGATCGCCGTCGAAGTCACTGGCGCCAGATCGAACGGGCACAATTCTCTCTGCAACGGCAAATGCACGTTCATATCGCAAGCGTTGGCTAAGGCATTGTTGGAAACGGAGGTAACCGCAATGAGATAAGCCCCCTTGGATCTGGCACAGGGGACGAGGCGCAGGAGTTCTTCGGTGGAGCCAGATTTTGAGAAGAGGACAAGGACGTCGGTGGAGGAGAGTGCGCCGATGTCGCCGTGGAGGGCGTCGAGAGGGGAGAGGAAAGAGGAGCGGATGCCAAGGGAAACTAGGGTTTGGGAGATCTTGTGGGCGACGAATCCGGATTTTCCGACACCCGAGAAGAAAATGGTACCCCGAGAATTGAGGAGGGTTTCGGTGAAGGATAACGTTTGGGATAAGTTGAGGTTTTGGAAGAAGTAATTGAGGTGGTCTTGTTGGGATTTGAAGAGGTTGAGAAGGGAAGTTTCGGAAATGTGTTGATGGTTAGGCTTTTTCAACAGCGGTAATGGGAGGTCAAGCGACGGAGGAAGAGATCCCATTGTTGACAGTCTCAGATCCGATGTTTTCTTTTCTTTGTGCTTGCTGATGAAGAAGAGGGCGCGAGCGGGGTGGTATTGTCGGCCTTGTTGGGCCTTTGTTTTGGGTTTTGAATGGCCGTTTATAGTTCGCGGTAAAAACGGGGAGAATTCAGTTGCATGTAATGTCAACACGCTTAACGTAATCTCGTGTCCATTAGTTAGTCAAAAAGTTGAAGTTTTTATTTGTTGAAACCTAGAAATAAATGAAGGCCATCATCCTTTATTATGATTTAAGTGATTTTAAATTCAAATTTTACTAATAACTTATCTTCATTCTGTTTGATGAAAAAAGAAAGTAATTTCTTAAAAATAATAGTTTTAGACTTTGGCCTAATTTTTAAGCCAACAATAAAATTTCCCCCACCTTCCTTCTATTCACAATTTTCTTTGATGGTAAAAAAATTTAAATAAATTAAACAAAGTTTATATTAAAAAATAGCAAAATATGGAATATGAAAAAAAAAAAGCTCGAGGAATAACGAGTTGGGTTGCAGTGGCTGCTATCATTTTCTTTCCCGTAAAAGTACCAAAGAAGTCACTAAACTCTATTATTTGGTGTAATTTGATCCTTATGAGTAATTTTGTTTAAATTTGCCATTAGAGATGTTGACGTGGTGTTGACGTAACCTTGACATGTTCGATGGTATTGACATGGCGTTGACTACATCTTAAATTGTCATTTTCTCTTTTTTTAATCCAACAAAATAAATAAAAATAAGCAAAACCAGAATGATCATCTTTCATAGTTGATTTTAGATGGATGCTATTGTTAATATTTCTCATACCAAAAAAGAAAATTATGGAAAAATATGAAAAAAATTTTTACTGTTAGGAATATTTTTATAATATCTATTTATATTATCTATATTTAGATTTGATGTAAAATAGATTGAATAAAGATTTAATCCATTTAATCTCTAAGTGTTATCTTCATCTTTTAAATTCTATGAAGATAAAAGGGGTTATTTACCTATAAATAGGCCCCCTCAATTCATTTGTAAACACACACTTCAATAAGATCTCTTTTCCCCTGCTAAATACTTTATTTCTTTTCTTTAATTATTCTTTAAAGTTATATTTATTTGTTCTTTAAAGTTATTTTTTTATAACACGTTATCAGCACGATTTTCTAATCTCTTACTCTCAACTTCTCAAAGTCAAGGTTCAATTTTTCTTCAGGTAATTTTTGTCTATTGTCACTTTATTGTTTTGCCCAAATTTTACCAATTTATAATAAGTCAATTTTTAATTTTATATTAATTATTTTTTATCAGCCAATTTATTGTTTTGCTTCTCAATTACGATATATTGTGTAATACTAACATTTATGTTCTTCTTTTAAGCTATCATCATGTCAAATCTTACAAAGCTTGAATTTATGGCTCTTGATATTACTGGCAAAAACTATCTATCTTGGATTCTATATGCTGAAATTTATTTAGATGCTATAGGCCTTAGGCATAATCAAAAAAGAAAATAAAGCATCCAATTAAGATAAGGCAAAAGCAATGATTTTTCTTTGCCACCATCTTCATGAAAGATTAAGAATTGAATATCTCACTATAAAAGATTTAGCCAATCTTTGAAAAAGTCTAAAGGAAAAATATGATCACTAGAAAACAGTCATTACGCTAAAAGCTTGTTGTGATTGGTTGCATTTGTGATTGTAAGATTTTAACACTATAAGTGAGTATAACTCAGTATTATATAGAATCATTTCTAAACTAAAATTATTTAGAGAAAAGGTGACTAATGCTAATTTGTTAGAAAAAAATTCTCTACTTTTCACGTCTCAAATATGCTTCTGCAACAGCAATATTGTGAAAAAGTCTTTAAGAAATGCCCTGAACTAATTTTATGTATCTTTTTAGCTGAGGAAAATAACGAGCTATTGATGAAAAATCATGAATCTCACCCAACTAGTTTTACTCCTTTCCCAAAAGTGAATACGACATCATTTAGAAATTTTACTCATGGTCGTGGTTGTGGTCGTAATTGTGGTTATAATCGTGAATGTGAAAAATATCGTCATAATTATCACAATCGTGCTGGTTACATAAATTATTTTTCTGATAATAAGAACACCCACCAGAAGTGGATCAATAGTAAAAAGATACAAAAAAAAAACAAAGTAAAAAGAATATAGAAAATGTTTGTTATCGATGTGGTATGAAAGGCCATTGGTCACGTACCTGTCATCCAGCAACACATCTTATTGAACTTTATCAAGCATCATTAAAGGATAAAGGAAAAAAATATCGAAACAAATTTTATTGAAAATGATAGCCAAGTTGATATAACACACTTGGATGTTGTTGATTTTTTTGCTCACCCTAAAGGACGGATTGATCATTTGATTGGTGATGAAAATCTCAAAAATGAAATTTCTTAAATTATTTGTTGATGTGCTTTAGTACAACTTTATTAGGAACTTGGTATGTTTAGTATAATTCTATTAAAGGTTAATGTGTTTTAATAGTCTATTAGGAAGATTTTTTTGTGTGTTTTAATAACAAAGTTTATATTTAACATTCTCTTATGTAAATTTCTTACTATATATATTTTATTTTCTTGAAGAAAATATAGATATTCATCACGTTAGGTCCAAGATCGATAATGACGATATATGTTTAATAGATAGCGCTTTAACACACACTATATTTAAAGACAAGAAATATTTTTTCCACTTGACAATGGAAGAAGCTAATGTCAATACAATATCTGATAATACAAGATTAATTGAAGGTTCCGAAAGAGCGAATATTTAACTACTTGGAGGAGCAAAGTTTATAATAAAAGATGCATTATTTTCTATTAGGTCTCAAACAAACTTATTAAGTTTTAAAGATATTCGTTTGAATGGATATCATATTGAGACAATAAATGAAAGAGACACTGAATACTTTTATATTACATCTATTATATTGGTAAAAAGTGTGTATTGAAAAAATTAGTCGTTTTATCTTCTGGAATGTACTACACAAAAATTAAAATGATTGAAGCTTATGCTATAGTAAACCATAAGTTTACTTATAATTTTAATGTTTGACATGACTAGTTAGGCCATTCTGGATCAATAATGATATAAAAAATTATTAAAAATTCATCTGGCCACTCATTGAAAAACTAAAAGATTTTTCAATATAATTAATTCTCATGTGTTGCATGCTCTCAAGGTAAATTAATTATAAAACCATCACCAGCTAAAGTTGGGATTGAATCCCTTACATTTTTGCAATGTATTCAGAGTGATATATGTTGACCCATACATCCATCATATGGACCATTCAGATATATTATGATTTTAATCGATGCATCGACACGATGGTCATATGTGTGCTTGTAATCAACTCGTAATTTAGCATTTGCAAGATTACTTGCACAAATAATTTGTTTGCGAACACATTTTTCGGATTATGCAATCAAGACAATTCGTCTTGACAATACTGGTTAATTTACGTCTCAAGCTTTTAATGAATATTGCATTTCAATTAGAATAAATGTTGAACAATATGTTAGTCATGTTCATACAAAAAATAGTCTAGCAAAATCGTTTATCAAACGCCTTAAACTAATTGCAAGGCCATTACTTATGAAATTCAAACTCCCAATTTTTGCTTGGGAGCATGCCATTTTGTATGTAGTAGCACTTGTATGCATCAGGCAAATGAGTTATTATAAATTCTCTTATATACAATTAGTTTATAGTCAAGAACCAAATATTTCCTATCTAAGAATTTTTGGATGTGCTATATATGTTCCAATTTCTCCATCACAACACACAAAGATGGGTCCTCAAAAGAAGTTAGGAATATAAGTTGGATATGAAACTTCATCTATAATTAAATAACTAGAACTCTTAACAAGAGATTTTTCACTGCAAGGTTTGCTGATTGTCAGTTTGATGAAACAATTTTTTTAACATTAAGCGGAGAAAATAAACAGCTGGAAAAAGAAATATCTTAGAATATATTATCATTATCTAGTTTTGATCCTCACACAAATCAATGTGAACAAGAAGTTCAAATGATAATTCATTTATGAAATATAGCAAATCAGTTGCTAGACGCATTTACTAACCTAAAAAGACTAACTAAATCTCATATACCAGTTGTAAATGCTCCAATCAAAATTGATGTAAGATAATCTACTATTGCTAATGAGTTTAAGATACACCAGAAGTATAGGAGTCTAATCAATTCCAAAGATAAAAATTCTCAAAAAAGAAAAAGAGCAAATATTCAAGATGGTCAAGAAGAAGAAACAAAATCTCCAGAAAAAACTCCCAACATAATTTCAGAAGAAATTCAGGTACTTAAAATCAATAAAAATGAAGAGATCTTAATAAATTATGTCATGACAAGAAAAAGATGGAACTGGAATAAAATAAACGTCGACAATATATTTGCATATAATGTAGTGCTCAATATTATGAAAGCAAAATGAGGATCTTGAACCTACATTTGTTGAAGAATATAGACATAGAAATGATTGGCTAATGTGGAAAGACGCAAATAAAGTGAAATTAAATTCACTTGCAAAACGTAAAGTTTTTGGACCTATAGTTTGTACCCCAAATGGCATAAAACCAATGAGATATAAATAGGTTTTTGTGCAAAAACAAAATGAGAAAGATGAGATTGTGAGATATAAATCATGGCTTGTCACACAAGGTTTTACCTAAAAACCTGGTATTGATTATGGAGAGATATATTCTTTTATGGTGGATGCAAGTACACTTCGATATTTAATTAGTTTGGTAATAAATGAAAAGCTTGAAATGCATCTAATGGATGTAGTTATAGCCTATTTATACCGCTCACTTGATAATGATATCTATATGAAAACCCTTGAAGGTTTTAAATTGTTTGAAGTTCAAAATTGAATTCCTAAGAGATTTATTTGATTAAATTAATAAATATTTATATAGATTAAAACAATCTTGGCGCATGTGGTATAATCACCTTAATGAATATTTGTCGAAAAAAGGCTATAAGAATGATCTTGTATGCCCATGTGCTTTTATAAAAAGATTTGAATCTAAATTTGTGATAA